AGAGCAGCGAACCGGGCAGGGCCTGGGGGAGCGGCCGAGCGCCCAACCACGTCCCTTACGCGAGCTGGGACGGATCTCACCGACACGCACCTCTGCGTCGCCATACCTTTAGGTCCTGCTCCTCCTCTTCTATTTTTGGTGCCCCTTGCACTTTTGCTTTCTCCTGGGGCTCCTCAGACTCCGTCTCTTTGTCTGAATTTGCATCAGCTGCTTCTGCGCTCGCTGCTGCAGGAGAAGAAACGACAGCTGAGCCCTTCTCTCGCCACAGCGCTGCCCACAGCCGGCCGGAGACACCGTGCCAGGGAGCCAAAGCCGATGCAGGAGAGGGCAAGGAAAGAGCCGAGGCCTCTTTCCTACAGAAGCCGGCAACAAGAAATTAAAAAAGAGAGAGGGTCACCGCCTCTGTGTTTTGATGGCGTTTGTCCTTCCTTCCAGAAGGACAGCACGGGAAGCAGAGAAGGGGCTACAGCGCAAGGGCAGGAAGGAGAAAAAGCCGGGATGGAGCACAGGGGTTCGAGGAAGCGTGAAGAGAGCTGACCGCCTGGCAGGCAATCATTAAACTCTGACAGTTTAATGATTTGTCAAGAAAAGGTATCGTCGATTAAACAAGTCGAGACAATTGTCAAAGACCAGAGAGCTCGCAAAAAGTTGTCAAGACCGTATGGTTTCGCCTCCGCTGCGTCACAGGACAGCAGTAACTAATTCATTATCCAAGCACCAAATTCCAGGGAGGGAAGTTTTGCGAGGGACTCCTGCCAAAAGCCCTTGGGGGGAAAAAAAGAAACAAAACCCCACATTCCTGGTGCGCCCAAGGGCAGGCCAGCTCCCTCACCCCCTCCTCCAGCAGCAGAGTGCTCGACTCCAAACAGGTTATTTTAGAGTAACAGCTTCCTGTTCCCCAGGTGAAGTGGGAAACCAGGACTGCTGGGAAGAGCTGGCTCCAGGGCCATTCTGCTCGCGAGCCTGCGAGGCACAAGGGAAAGCCCTCCGGCAAAACCATCCGTCAGAGCCACCCCGGACTGAAGCAGACGTGCGTTAAGGCGACATCAACCCCGTTTTGGGGCAGGCACCCTCTCCCACTTCCGCAGGCCGCAGCCTGCTCCGGGCTCGGGGCGCTTTTGTACCAGTTTTTCCTGGGGAAAAGCAGTTGTCCCTCCTTCAGCCAGCTTTCTGCACCAGAGGGGCTGCCTCCCTCTTTGCCACGAGGCAGGCGGCTGGCCTGAAGCCTCGTGCCGGGGAGGGACCGGCACATCTGGCAGTCAGGGCTGCCAGGCACAGGCTGCCCTCTCAAACACCGTGGCCAGCGCATTTCAGGGAGCGCAGCTCTGGAGGGGCTGGGGAGGACAGGAGGGTCGGTACAGGCAGCGAAGCGCGGGCTGTAGTGGAGCACTAAGAGCCACGATCGCGTGATTTCCCCAAGGCGATAAACTTATACGATGCCCTGCAGCAATCGCTGAACTGATCTTAATGTATACTTGACAACTATCTTTGAAAAACCGCGGCTGTACCACGGGAAAGCAGAGCGCCAACAGGAATGCGAGCTCTGCCGAGGGGTTGTCGTCGCTCGAGCGACGTATCCAACACAAGCCCAGCACCAAACCACCCTTATGTGAGCCAGATCTTCCTCACAGCGAGGTCCCACCTGAACGTTTCCTGCGCGCCAACAAGCACGGAGCCGGAGAGGCTCTCGGGGGAACAGCTTGCCCATCTGAAATTTGGCGACTGTTACCAGGCAGCTTAGAAACACAACTTTAAAAGAGGAAGGTGACAGTTCCCCATGTACCACAGTTAGGATTTATAACGTTGGAAGGAAAGCGGAAGGCAGTGGGACGTGAAACAGCCATTCTTCCATGTCCCTTCTCCCGATAAAAGCATGGAGTACGGGCACTCTCTTATTTGTTCTCCTGACAAAAGCGTTGCATATGGGCACTCTCCTGTTCACGCTCTTTTATTAGGATAAAGGGGAGAATCAGGCAGAGCATCAGCTTATCCCCACGCTGCCCTGAGCCCGTGAGACTCGCGCTGCTGGCCTGCGAGCTCGGCTACGCGACACCAGTGACAGCCGCCCCTGCGGGCCTGTCCCCTGCCCGGCACACGTACCTCACCGCCCGTCCCGGCTCCTCTACCCCCTGCCACAGGCGCCGCGGGCTCCAGGCCT